ATAAGCTAATTGTACTTTTAACAGCTGTTACATGATTGGTATCTTAGGACTCGGTTATGTTTCCTATCCTGATAAAGTCATAAATCATAAAACCTAATTTTCTCCTCACCATGTGAGTCCTAGTGTGTTCCGTGGATGTAATGTTCAGTTGTGAATATATCATTCAGAGATTATTGCTCACAATTTGCACAAACACCTCTTCCCTCCTTCCCTTCTTCCTGTGGTTCCTGACAGTCATTGTGGATATAATCAGGTGACACGGTATGATATTTTGGTCCAGGGCCTTTTTTTTCTATCATGCGGGGTTTTGAGTTGTCTCTTTAATCCATATCTAAGGGGAAAACCCTGACAGTAAGGTTTAAGTTTTTCATAGTGAATTTGCAGTTATCTCTGTAGATGTACATCTCTGAGCCAAGTTAAACTTTCTTTGTTTCTATTTCGACTTTAAACTGTGTTGCGTAAGTAATTTCTTTGATGTATTCTCTGTTTAATTTCAAATTTTCTATATTCCCGATATTAATTCTTTTACTTGTCCATTTTCTGGAAATGTATTGCTAATCTTTTTTTCACCCTCTAAAATTTTACAGAGGAGGGCATAATCCGTCGTACATGTATCGGCTTATTGCAGATTATTACTCTGCCGATGATTTGGTGTTGCAGCGAAAGCCTACAGGGAATTGAGTTTAGAGGTAGAGCATTCAGTTGTACTTCACACTAAGTGAGACCTTTTCTCTGTTCTTATTAACCAGACGACAAATATGTGAAGTTTTGCTTATTTGACATTGATATATTAAAAAGCTAAAGCAAATGGTTTGATTTGGCATCCACGAAAATGGGATGCTCGCATCTTGGTTTGGAACTGGGTTATTCATAATTGATTTCGGAATCCAAATAATTATGAAGCTTTTAATGCATAACTTGCAAGTTATGTGAATCACTGTGCTTAGCATTTGGATCTTTGTGGAAGAATCTGAGCCGTGCAAACATGAAGCTGTTCCAACCATTTGAATACTGGAGAAATATTGGAAACTACAGTTGAGGAATATGGAATGAGGTTTAAGCTAGTATAAGAGAATCAGGAGATACTGTTTTTATGATTTGGGAGGTATATGGAGATGACAAAGAAGAGAATTTTGGACATTGCAACAGGTTGAGATAACTTTGTAATCTGTAGCATTAGAATTCCAACATATGGTTCGACAAGCAATTATTTGTGCATTGCATCAATGTGACAATTTTGGTCGCGGTCTGTACTTGGGAATTATTACAGTGTTATGTTACATTCAGATCATAAGCTCTGAAACCTTCTTGAATCACTTTCTCTAGTCTTTTATCTTATATAGCAAGTGCCATGTTGGTATGCTTCTTGGAAGGTGTAGAGGAGCTTCCATATACAACCTCGATCTATACAAACACAGCAATTGCAAATGCTGGCCATTAATCAGTAACTTTCTTTTTGTGAGAATGTTCTAAAGTTACAATTCTTTTCGCTGACCAATCATCAACTCTGTTCAAACTGAACAGTAAAGATTATTGAAAGTACACTTGGAGAACATACAATCTTGAGACCTTTCAAATAAATTATGTAATAAAAAATAGAACTTTACTTGAACAGAGACATAAACTTGCATACAAGCTGTGGCAATAATCATCATTGGTAATCTACATCAAACCAGAAATAGTGAGAAGTGCGAGCATAAATCACTCGAACACGCTGCAGTGCTAGGTCGCCACTTGTCAAGACAGCCTTAGTGCCTCCTTCAATCCGGGTGTGAGAGACAGAAACTCTATCACCACGAGCCTTAAAAGTTGACGGAAACACTGCATGGCAACCGGCTGTACTGACAATAGGACATGAAAGGTAATCCAAAGGGTTTGACTCACATTGAAGAATGCAGCCATCTATGGTCAGCTTTCCACTCCTATGAAGCAAGCAGTAACCAAGCTCTGCTTTCACTGTTAAATTTGCCAACTTGCAGGTGGATAGGAACTCCAATGCACTGCTCAAAGAAAAGGAACAGCACATACAAAACCTTGCTGCTTAAAAGTACAGGAGATTTTTTGAGGAGCCAACTTCAAACTGCTGGATAATGAAAAATCCTTTTTGATTGGCTTGGAAAGGAACCAATCCACCTTTAGATTTATGGGAGCAATTGAAATCAAGCAATATGGAGTGGCTCCTCATAATATCTCCAGTAAGAAAACTCTCGCTAATAATCATCAACACAACAATACAATATATAGTAATTTAGCGAACCTGTCTGAACCTCGAGAACAGATGAGGGTAGTTTCATCCGGACGCTCACCTCCACCAATCTGAACAATATAAGTTGAGAATTAAAAGAAAGAAAGAAAGGAAATATAAACATCCTTATTGCGTTCAAGAGAGACATTTAGTTATAAAGTGCACAACTATCTTTCTTGTTCCTCATATAACCAAAAAAGAGAAACCCATACAATCTCGGTTCACATAAGAAATTACCGAAAGGATGTCATTAAACCAAGAAATACATATTTAAGAAAAAAAGAGTGCAGGAGTTATATAATTGTCATTGTCATTTTTTTGTTAACTCTAACTAATATGACGAGAACCAATGACTTTGTTGGATTGCCCAATTTAAATCTTTCCTTCACACATGGTGTATATGGAATTGACTAGCTTTGTAGTCATCAGCAGTGCCAAGAAGTGGTAAACCTAATTATTTTTGTAACGGTAAGACTAACATTAACAACTTGAGACACACCAAAATAAAAATCAATGGTTCCCATACACTGTTTAACTCAAATAACCATCATCAATGGTATAAGACCTAGTTGGAACAGTTCGCAATTAGTACAATCTGTAACATAAGCTTATATAGCTGCTCACTAGAACAAGAATTCCTGTCAATTACTTGGTCTTGTGGACGAGACCATTTGAGAATGATTTATTATCAAGTTCGAGAAAGTTTGCAGGGTAAAAACATGGATTCCTACAAAAAGAGACAGGTTAGCTTTATTAGTACTCCTGCTGTAAGCCATTCATCCACCTTCTGTCTTTGTTTTCAATCCCTGCTTGTATTGCTAAAAGACAGGAGCCCTGTTTCTTTTGACAGAATACACGACCATTGCCCATTTCCATTAGTGGCTTGAAATTTGATGAAGAAGCCTCTTAATGAAGGGGATCACAGTTTCCAATCACCTGTATGTTCAATATGGCCTTTGCTTGGAAAGTGATTCTGGAGGTTAATGAAGGATAACAGTTGTGGATTTAGAGAGAAGCTGAAATTTTTGTATATTGAAAAGGAGCATAGACATACATAGATATAGGTGTTGCAAGGAGTAAGAAACTAATTGCACTAAACAAATCCACTTATCAATGTGATTCCCCAACCAGTATCATATATTTTTGAAAAATTAATTTCCTAATATTGAAATAGAAGATTGAAGGATTTTCCAGCAAAAACTACTCATGGCAGGCAGAGGATGTTCAGAGCCAAGAATAGACTTGCGGGTAGTAGAACAAGGGAATCCCATGATTTGGGTGATTGTTAGTGCATTAGTGCCGTCCAGAAGAACTTTTATACACATGTTTAGTTCTAGGTGTGGATGCCACTCGATGAGAACTTGGGAGGGAGTTTTTGGGTGTTTCTATCCCCTTATGCCTCATATCTTAAAATTGCTAGGTCTAAGGAGGTTTACTTGGAAGAGTGCCATGTAATGGTGTCAGATAAAAAAAAAATGGATAGTGGCCTAGTTCGATACCTAAATCACTGCGACTTGCAAACTACAAGGCTTAATTGGAAGAGTGCCATGCAAGGCTTTCTTTTATTAGAGAAATGAGAGAAAATTACAAAGGCCGAAGATGAAATCCTTCTAAAAGAATCTTAAAGAAAGGAATACATCAAGAAGGTAAAGCAAGACCAGGCACTTCGCAAAATTGCCAAAAGGCTTATAGTAGCCACGAGCCTTAGCCCATAAAGCAACAAAAAAGCCACATGGCCACATAAAAAGAGAATTGGCTAACTTGGTATTTTAAGATCCTAACATTCCACTCGATCCACAACACTCAGAAACCTACACAGTTCTAATGACAACTCATAGCCAACTGCCATTTCTTTTTTTTTTTTTTAAAAAAGAAAAGATATATTACATTTAACAGCACTAACACGGTGCAAACCCGTAGATAAAGTATTTAGAAATCAAATAAAACGCCTATTAAGTTCCCTAAATCCTCACAATAAGGAGGATGACTCTTAATCAAAAAGCTTAGAATCTGGAACTAGTCCTTAAATCTATCAAAATTAGCCTCTGTATCCTTAAAAGCTCTCCTAGTTCTTTACATTCAGATTAACCAAAAGGTATACAAAGGAATAAGCCTTGAAAATCGCCTATCCTTATGCATTTTACTCCCAGCCTGGATCTTATCCCTCACTGAACCCACCATCACCCAACTTATCTCTAGAAGACCGTAAACTAAGGTCCACAAATGATATGCAAACAGGCACCACAAGAGAGTATGACCCTTGGGCTGTTAATAGGTCAAGATTAGGAAAAAGATGTGTCTGTAGAGGTGGTAAAAAGCTATGCAAAAAAAATGTGTTACATGAGTTTATATATGACCTCGGGAATTTTAACCCTTTTATCTTCCACCAGTTTCCTCTTCTGGATGAGAACAGGTAAATGCACAAAATTCAATCCATGGCCCTTTAATGCCTATGCATGTTCCAGTCCCAAGTGATGAGGGGTTGAAAAAATTGCTGAGGGTTAAAAACTTGGATAAAAGGTTGGACAGGGCAGATATGAAACCTTACATATACATGAGGCCATTGAGCAAGCTCTACCTAGTCAAACACAACTACTGAATCCAGTTCTTGAGTAAACATTTAGGAAGTCCTACCCAACTCTTGATACCATTATTGTTGACCTTGATAATCCCTATACTGTTATAAAAGAAACACGTACTTGCACCAAACATTCCATCCTTTAACTTTGTCTCAAATGACTCATTATCACCTTCTCATAAAGTTCTTTTTATCATTGTTATCTTCTATATTTTTTTAATAGAAAAAGAAGTATTATTAGGAAGAGAAAGAAACAGATTATAACGATCAATCAAGTAGAAAAATTAAATTGATCTCTGACCCAAGATAGGTGTGAAAAACTATGGCTTCAAAAAATGAAGCATGGGTAAAAGGTTCTGGGGAGAGGAACCAATTATATCATTATATGACAACAAAGTGTACATTGGGTGAATTAGAGGTTTTTAGATGGGGTGAAAGAGAAAAAAAGATTTAAATTATTTATTTATTTATTTTTTATATGAAGGAAGTTTATTGAGAAAAAAAGGAAAACATTACGTAGAAAACAACATATAAGTTATCCAGCTGAAGCCAAAGAAAAAGAAAATAGCATATACTAAAAACAGAAAAACCCAGAAGGGGAAAAAAACCACATGACTATAGCATCCCAGCTCCTGTAAAACACAGCAAGGAAAAGGTCAGAGTATTTCCCATAAGTCTTGGGCCAAAGGGAAGCCATCTTATCCCAAATGGAGCTTTTGATGAGTTCCTGCACTCATGGTTGATGGCATCCATAGGGTGGCTATAACCTTGTGGAGAGGGGCTATACTTGCCAGTCTATGAATTCTTTGGCTTCAAAGGAATCATAGGATTTTTTACTACCCCTCTTCGTCAAGTC